TGGTGCCCACCTCAGCAGCGGCCAGCTGATGTCAGCAGCCGAGTGCTCTTCTGCCCTCCTGGGATCGGGGCGGGGGGGAAATGGGGTGTGATCCTCCTCTGCCCTGTAAGGTCGGCTTGCTTTGAAATGTTAATGGACTTTGCTGCAGTTACAGCATCCCATAACCATCTTCCTCTTTCACTTTTAGGCATGCACATGGGGTGTAGCCTATGAAGTTCGTGGGGAACAAATTGCTGCATCGCTACAGTATCTCAACATGCGAGAAGCTGTCCTGGGAGGCTATGTCACCAAGTTGGTGAAGTTCCACCCTCAGGAGAAAGATACAGAAGAACCCATCCTGGCTCTTGTTTACATTGCAACACCCCAGAACCCTTCTTACCTCGGCCCAGCATCTGAAGAAGACATTGCAGCTCAAATCATCGTCTCAAGTGGTTGTGCTGGTCATAACATTGAGTACTTGCTGAGACTGGCAGACTTTATGCGCTACTTTTGTCCTCAAGCAGAGGACAAACATCTCTTCTCCATTGAAGAGGCTCTTATTTCCATCCTTCCATGCCTATACTACACAGAAGAGTCTCTAGAAGAAACTGCAAGTGACCCTCAGAAGTCTAAGAGTTGAAATAGAAAAAATTTTTTGCAGGGTCCCAGTAGGAGGGATGTAAGGGAGGAAGCAATGGGGACAATCTTAACTCTGATAAAATAGGCTGGACTGAGTGAATAAAGGGAGAATTAACAAGTAGTAGGGGAGGGAGGAAGTGGAGTAAAACATGCTTGCCATAGGACTTGCAGTTAGTACCTGTTACACTCCTTACCTGTAGCACCACAATAGCCATCACTGCTTTCCAGGTGGGAGTAGGGATCTTTGCTGGAACTCTGCTCTGTAAGACTTGCTTCTGGGGGTAAACCTGAAGCACTCACTTTCTTTAGAGAAGAAAGGGGCTCATCTATTCTGTGCACTCTTTTTTTTTTTTGCCTTCTTTCAAAACTAGTTGAGCGGGACTTGACTGGGTTTAAGCAGTATATATGTAAGTCTACCTCAGATTGGCAAAAAGCTATTTGTGTGATGGTGGAGTCTCGGGCAGGTTCTGCCAAACAAGACCTTTTTTTTTCCCCCTGCTGCCATGTCCCACCTCTAGTACCTGACACTAAATTTCAGGACTTGTGTGCAATATTAAATGAACCAGCCTCTGTAGGCTCCTGTGGATCCTACTTCCTTATGTTGTGAAGGATCACAGTAATGCACTTATTTTCTAAAATATACTGTATTTATTGTGTGTTGTATTTCCCCTTAGGAGGGGTATCTAAACTACTTGCATGCCACAGTGGTACATAGCCCACACTCAACCTTGCATTTGTGCCTTCTAGTTTTAAAGCAGTTTCTGAGGAGCTAAGCCCGCTTTAATGACAGAAGCTTTTGTCCAAGCTTCAATGACCTTGTGCTGCTACAGACTTAACTGATTATGTAAGAAATGGTCCTGCCTGTGTGGGAAGCCTGTGCTGCCTGCAGGAAAGCTGTCCGGATGCAGCAGTGTTTTAACTAGCCCTGTACTGGATAAACCTCTGTTGCTTCAGAATAACATGGGTTTCTGTAGAAGCATTTGAGGGTTGTAGTTCCATACCGGGGTGTCAGTCTGGTGTGCTTTTATTTGACTGCAAAGGACCATGACTGAGCATACTTGAAAAGCTGAAAAGCCTGCCTTGATTGTGTTAAGCAGGCGCAGTGCTGCAAGCTCAGACTTTTCAGCTTCACCTATTAACAGCATGAAAACACATAGTATTCGGTAAGAAAACTGCTGCAACTGCAGCAAAATAAATAGCTCTTGAGAGCTGACCCCTGGGATATTTGACTCTTCCCAAATACCATGTCTTTTTTAAATAAGAAAAGGGTAGGGACTGTTTGTATTACTGTGGCTTGTATGTATGTGAAATGGTACTGTGCTGTGCCCAGTAATAAAACAAACTGACAAAGTTAGCCTTCTGTACTCTGGTGTTGGTGGTCTTTCATTACTGACTTAAAGTTCAGACTGATCCTTATTTTTAATGGTGGTGGTTGCTGTGCTTTAAAAACAAAGCCTTAGTTGGTAATGCTGCTCTACTTCCTATGGGGATTGTGTTTTTAAAACTAACACCTCACTGCTGAGCAGTTTGCCTCTGCTGGAGGATGCCCATTGACCCTTTCCTTCTGAGAAAAGGGGATTCAGTGATTTCTCTTCCCACTCTTCTTGATCCTGGAGTGCTAGTGCTGACACTAGATACAAGCCAGCCCTCCTGACTGTACAGGGCAGGCACAGAAATTTAATTCTCCCTTGGCAGAGCAAAGGATTTTTGTTCCAAGTGTAACTTGGCATTGCTGTTTCCAAGAAGGAATAGTGGAATGACAAGGGATGGCTGTGGCAGGCAGATCCCCTGTGACTGCAGTGAGGGGGGCAGGTGTTTCTCTCCTGCTTTGTGCGCAGGGCTTGTGTCCAGCTGCCCTTGCTGTTCCTCTAGTTTCCAGCTGCCTCAGCACTAGCCCATCACTTTACCTACCACTGTTACCTGCCTTGAGACTTGAGTGATGAAAACTAATTGAAACAACTGAATTTACCCCTAATTAAAGGCAGGTGCATGTTTGGGGGATAACAGACTAGAGAAAACTCTGCTTTCCCTGTTGGAGTGAGGCTCTCACTCCAGCAGAGCAGCTGGGTCTCCCTGTGGTGGCTGTATCCCCCCAGCTAAAAAATCAAACACTTAAAGAATCAACTTACCTGCAGGGATACACTCCCTTACTAGTACAGGACTGGCGTTAGATACCAAAATATCTCCAGAATAAACAAAACCAACTTCGCACCTTTTAAATTTTCAAAGCTACCACGGACAGGAATTAATAGCAGATACCTGCGTTGCCACCTCCCAGGGAGAGCCCCTTGCGTTGTTCAGCCCATTTAGCCTGGGTTGGCCCCGTGATCCTTCACAGCGCTGGTAGAAGACAAGCAGTGAGTGCTTGTGACCAACCCATGGGCACTAGGAATGTTCCTTCAGCTGCTGTTTCTTCTTCCCTTGAAAAACTAAGTATTTTAAGCATGGATATGCTACTTCACTGAACTACCATTTTCTTCCCAATGAGTGTCTTTGCAGTGGACTTCAAAAAAAAAAAAAAAGACCCCATTTTCTTTTCAGGAGTGCAGAATGTGGCAGCTTGCTGTTGTCATCCTGTCACTACATCTTCAGGTCACTAAGACAATGAGGTATCATGTAATATTTTTCTCCTGAGGCTTTTATTGTGTCTTGTGAGTCTCGGAACTGGTCACGTTTTGGTCAGTTGATGAATTTAAAAGGTTAACATCCCAGATTTGAACTTTGGCCAGGTGAGTGAGGAGAGACGGCACCCTGCAACGCTTGCTATATGCCCAGCCTATGTTTGTACTGCTACTCAAAGACGGGGGACCACGGTGGTTGCCTCTGAAGAACCAAACGTGAGGAAGATAATTGCTGCTTGCAGGAAGTCACACAACCATGGCGCTCGGGAGTGCCAGGCCAAGCATGACACACAAGAACAGTGTCCTACCCAGTACATGTTTCACTATGGGCTTCCTCGCCCCATGTCACGACTTGCCGGCCCAGGCGAAGCAGCTGGCTGTGGGTACAGCTCCAGCTGCTGGCAGCTGTACTGCTGGCCTGGGACAGAGCACTCACCTTGTCGGGGCGGGGAGACAACCACCCTCATTTTCAAAGTGCTGCCAGACATTTCTGGAGATGCTTCCCTCTCTAGTGGCTTCCTCTGCACGTGCGGTTTTTCTCTTCTCTGACTTCCCAATGACAAGCTTGTGCTTATCAGGTCACCTCATGTTATAAACCGGTTGCAATAGAAGCATGTTTACAAGTGCTATCAATCACATACGTTCCAAGTCTAAACCCAGCACAATTCACGTGATTTCAGTCCCTTCTTCAACCTTTTCCATTTTCCTGCCCAGCAGTTCCCACGCAGCCCTGGAACACGGGCCTGAGTCACCATTTCCTTGAATACATTAGGACAGGACCTACCCAGCTGCTTTGCAGCGGCACAGCCAGCTAAATAAAGCAGATGCCAACAGTTAATCCAGCCCTGGCCTTCACATGTATACAGCGCTCCTGAGGGCACATCATAGTCCTTAACAGGGCAGGAGAAAGGGTAACTCAGCAATGGTAAAAGGATTCAGGGAAGACAAAACCAGAAGGAAAAAAAATGTCTGGTTCTTAGGTATCATCTCAGTTTCAAGGTGGAGTGTCGAGAACCGAGGAGACTTCACACAGGTAAATCTCTACCAAGGTGATTCCAGCTTTAGTAAAAATGTAGATTAAATAGAGCAGCACCAAAGTGTAAACTTACCTGTGCATGGTGTGCTTTTCTAGATGAGATGCTGGGTCAGAAAATTAGTGAGCCCAAACTCCTGTTTGGGGTTGATGGCTGTACAGGCTTAGCGAGGTGGTAGGAGAGGACGGTGGCTTCGGAGAGGGGTAGGGAACAGCTGGTTGCGAAGGCAGCCAACAGCTTGGTTGAGTCTATTTGAGGAGAAAGTACATTTGAGCATCCAGAAAGAGGGGCCAGCACAGACTTCGCAGGCTATTGAGGAGCCAGCGTGGGATCTCAGCCCCAGGAGGAGCTGAAGGGAAGAGGCACAGCTCCACACGCGTGCCCACAGCCTCGAGAGGGTCCCTGGGGCTCCGCCGTGTGCGGCGGGGAGAGGCTGGCAGGCGGCGTGCAAGTCCCGGGGGATGGTGCGTGCTGGATTTAGCAGCTGTTACAGGAGCCGCAGCTGGTTGTATGTAGCACATGTGTTATTCCCTATGCGTCTGCTTGCTGCTGAAGAGACAGGCTGAAACGTGGATTTAATTACCTACAGATGTTTCACAGGCAGAGGAAAAGCAAAAGATAAAAAAAAAAAAAACCAAAAACAAACCAAAAACCAAAAACCCACCAAAATGCTTATCGCTGCTCCTGGGCAGCCTTGGCAGCCATACACCGGCTGAGTGGCCGGTGCAAGCGAGGGCGCAGCTGGTGCGTTTCTGTCAGCCTGCAAAGGCTGGGCTCTGCCAGGCGCTCCCCTCTGCAGTAGAGGCTGGACAGCCCTTCATGCGCACTGTATGCAGAGCGGATGTGGCCAGAAACAACGTCTGGCCTGGTAACAGCCTGTTCTTCTGCTCCTGCTACCAGGAAAGATTGGATGGTGAAGCAGGGGAAAGAAAGAAGGTCTACTGGGTGTACATCAGGACATGTGAGACTGACTTTGAATAAAATATCCAGCACAAAACATGCAGATGTGGTCACCTCTGCCCTTCGATGATTCTCTACGTAACATGCTCTAGGTAGTTCGGTGCCAGACCGATAGCACTGCCAACACGTCCCAAAACCTGGGAGTCAATCTAGTCCTGGAAGTCCTTCGTGAAACTTTAAATCGGGTTATATCACATTCGACTCAATAGCCTCATCCCAACGGCAGAGGGGAGAATGAATGAGCAGCATTTGGATGGGAGATTTTCTCCGAGTCAGACTTCTCACTTTGGCACTGCCGGTTTTCACAACGTGGCACATACTTCAGTAGCACCAGATCCAAAGGGTTTTTCAGAACTCAAGGAGAGATGCAACATAACAAAGTGTGGTCCCAGTGCATGAGCAGGCAGTGATGTGCCACCGGCAGGCAGCCTAGCTCAGCACAGCGTGGTTCCCTGCGCACGGGAGGAACA